GGGGCTGAGGGACGACGCTGCGGGGCCACCCCGGCAGCACCCCAAGTGTTCTGCTCCGCCGCTTCCCCAAGTTTGCCGCTGCTGCTGCTGAAACTGATGAAATTGACTTGGGGAAGCGACAGAGCAGAGCACCTGGGGTGCTGCTGGGTTGGCCCCGCAGCGTCGCCCCTCAGCACCCTGCTCAGCAATAACTACTGCAGTCTGACGGGTGGGGAGCCCGCTCCCTTACCAGAAACTTTCGGCGGCGCGGGGCTGAGCGCAGCCGGAACGGGGCAAGTTCGGGGAATTAGCTCTCGCCCCCTCTCCTCCGCTGCCGCTTGCAGGTCGGCGGCTGGGTTTCCCCAGCTGGCCTGTTGCCGGGACTTCCCCTGCCTTCCTGCAAAATGGCAGAGGGTTCGCCCCTTGCCTTTCCCCACCCACCTCCGGGACGCAGTGCGGGTCCCGTCACAGCCCCCCACCGGAGTACCTCCCGATACTCCAGCATATCCGATAATCTGGCACCACTTAGGTCCCAAAGGTGTTGGATTATCAGTAGTCTACTGTAGTTAGTTTGGATCATTGCTCCAGCTGCTTCTCTGCTCTCAGTAACTGCTTATCTTTATAAATGTTTGGCAGCAATACCTTTTTGTTGTTAGCATGCAAATCAAGATGGCCGGAAGAGGACATGACTGACTCTCATACTTCTTAGTTCATTTTTCTTCTTTATACAGAATACATTTTATACTGAAGCAGATACCCAAAGTATTTTTAACTCCTCACCATTATTGAGCTGTGCAGCCTTGCATAGAGATTGTTTTAGTGAGTGACTGGTCTGCCTTTCCTTTCTGTAAGAAAACCCAAATACGCTTGGGGGGAGAAAAATTCCCACACTAGCATTTTGACTTCTGTTAGAAATAATGCTGAAATCCAATTTAGAGATTAAAAACCACAGCTCAACACTTATGTAAAATATATAGAGAAAGGAGAGAAAAAAATCTGTATTGCCTGACAAGAATTTTGTAATATTTCCCTTCTTAGTATTTTAGCAGCAGTTTACCTGGTAACAGCAAAGACTTTATAATGCAACACAGAGCCTTCTATTGGAGTTGGCAACTGGTATTTACATTGAAGTGTATCACATTCCCATGCAAAGATAGAATTGTCTTTGAAACAGCTGATGATGGTGTTGCTTAGTGGAAGAAAGAAAACCTGAAAGAATATGAAAAAGGAAAAAATAGAATACTTTTCAGACTAGTTACCTTATATATTATATACAAAGATCGCATGTGAACTTCAGAAATGTCAGAATAATACAGTAGTAAAGCCACGGCAGTGCACTTATTAGGCTCCTGAAGACTTGCAATGAGCTTGAGAAGTGCACCAATTGCCCTCAGTCACTGAAGTGATTTATTATTTTTAGAGGACAGATCATTAATTTTATGTATAGTTATTAAAAAGTATAACGACAGCTGTCAGGGTTTATGCAAAGTATTGCTCCACTACGAACAAACAATGATAAAAGAAAAATAGGAAAATGTAGTAAACACCTTTTGTCAACTCTTTTGAATATATTTATTGTTTACTTGAAGTCTCTCTGTATAAGATCACCTAGACTGGAGAATCCTGACTAGATGTCTTTTTTTAAAACTATACTTTTAAAGCTACTCCCCGCTAGCCCTGGGCTCAATGTGGCATTTTAATCTTTGTACATTTCAAAGCAGAAGCGCAACATGGAGTCTGGGATCAGCAGGGGACTCCCTGTTGGTCCTGGGCTCCATATCACGTTCCAACTTTGAAATGTACAACTCTCGTACATTTTAAATGTGGAACACGCACTACTCCTTATCAACTAATCAAATAGTTAAAGGAAATCGTATCAACTATTTGATTAGTTAATTAATCAATATTTAACATCCCCACTTCCCTGCTCCCCAAAAGCCCACCCATCTTTCAGGCAGCCGTTTCTGGCCTAAACCAAGTTGAAAGCCACTATATAGGTAAAAATAATAGTCATCTAAAATTTCCACAATACATACACAGACTGAAATGACAAAGAAACTCCTGAACTTCAGCTAAGCTCAAGATTTTTATATACATAATATTACATGGTTGACAATTTGTAATACAACAATAACAGATAATCAAACGCAAAGATATAATTCTATAGAATTGACAACATAAGCCATACAAGACCTACCACCTATTCTTTAGTCTGAGAATTTCCTTATAATGAGCCAAATCTTACTGAAATCAATGGGAAGGCATCCACTGACTTCAAAGGCTTCCAGCTCAGCCCCTTATCTTTGTACTGAATTGTTACACTTGGAATAATCAATTCATATATTGAGTGCAGATATATAATAAAATAATGTATGTACTTATTTATTTTGTTGGGTTAATGATTGATTTTGATGTGAAAACCTCTGAATATCACCAAATTCCAAAAGCTATTGGCAGATAACTTCACCCACTCACCTATGCAAAATGTGGAATGTACTACAATCACCTGCTAATTGAGACTATCAAATATAGGGAGCATTTCATTCCCGAATGAAGTGCACACACCACTGGGATAAACAATTATTTTAATAGCGCTCACTACAAAACAGTTTTAAGACAGAAAGTGAAAGACGTATGTGTAATTGAAGCTAAAGGGTGACTTCCAGGAGGGAAGAATGTAATGCCCTAGCTAGAATCCAGAAAAGAAATTAGAGTTAACAGCACTACGCTTAGAAAAAGTGTCATGGGATTCTTCATGGGCACAAGTGGTGAGGATTTCCTTTTTAGTCTTTCAAATGAGATTTATCTCCTGCAGCATAATTCCACCTAACATGGAGCATTGATTCAATACTGACAAAACATTACTACTTTATGCAGCACATAGGTGTTCCCTGCACGTCTCTACAAGAACTGACCCATAACCTTATCTCATGAGATCAGATGGCATCAAAGGTGTGAGACGGTTGGAGGCAAAGATAAAAATATTCTTTTAAAAATAGATTAAAGTACTCCTGATTTAGCATGTTACTGTAGTCTCCCGTATGTTTATATACACTTTGATCATTGCTCTTTACTGACCTTTTGAATACCCACTGATTGGTGGACATTCAACTTTCTTTTTCTTTGGAAGGTATCAAGGTCCCAGAATTGTGCTGTATCACTGGATGTAGTGATGGCGTATCTGCCAGATCCATGGACGGAGATTGAAGAGACTGAAGAATCATGTCCCCTCATCCAACTAACTAGCTCTTTGGTGTCTATGGTATAAATTAAACTGATTTAAAAGTTCTGTAATTTGAAACAAGTGCTAGTATTTTTCAGTACCAATAATATGAAAGGTAGTCTCTTGAGAATGCATAATGTACCTCTATTTATCATCAAGTGAGGAACAAGTAAGGTCCTTCATGTAATTCATATACATAATGGAAAAACATTGTTTTTAATTACAGTAAAACTCCATTGGTCCGGCATCTGACGGTCTGGCACTCCTGATGGTCTGGCACCATCAGGGACCCGGAAGCGCTTCGCAGCCAGACCATTGGAGCTACTCTGCCTCCAGCTTCCCCTATTCAGCCACTGCTAAAACTGACCAGCGGCCGAATCGGGGAAGCCAGAGGCAGAGCAGCTGGGGCGCTTCAGGGTAGGTCCCCTAGCGCTGCCCCTGGGTGCTGCGGGACCAACCTGGCAGCACCCCAGGCGTCCCCGATTCAGCCGCTGCTGAAATTGACCAAGAGCTGACTCCCGGAAGCCTGAGGCAGAGGCGCTCCGCTTCTGGCTTCCC